CACCATCCTATTTGTGAACCAGTCCCTTCCTATCTCCCTCCTAAGCCTGAACTTATCCAACTTAAATCCGTTGCTCCAAGTCCTATCCTGCTCGGATATTATAAGAACTTTATATATATCCCCATGTTTGGATCACCTGAAGATTAGACACCCCAGATTATTTTACATGAAGCTCAGGCAATTAAACGCTAACCTAATCCCCATGTGGATGAGTGGAATAAGTTACCAAATATCATCATTAACTTATGTTCTTAATATGCCGGATAGCTTCACACGTGCAACTTTGTAGACAATTTCAGCGCCCTACAGCTGAAGACACGATTTAGGGGTCTGCCCAAGGCTTGAGATGCACATATGATCCGATGCTGAATCTCTTCATCGATGTCTGCGGTGGTGGATACGTGAGAAACTTATGCACCATCCTCGACACCGGCTCCTATTACCACCTGAGATCCCTCGTCCGAGAATTGCTGCTCGACACCATAACCGCATCCAGCCCACAGGGGCACGTACTGGTCGCTATAAGAACAGCCCAGTCCCATTGTAAAATTATCAATAATTTGTAATCAACCAGCGCATTCTCTCCCAGTCAATCTTACCTTTTTGCACTGTCACAATGTTGAAATGCCCTGTAGTATGATCTTCTCCCCACCAAGTCATTATATATCGAATTCATATCACTTATGCTATTTGTATATTATTTTTCAATCAAGAGACCCATTCCCCAATTATGCAACTGTATATTTTCAGTCTTCCAGCTGCCATGCTCTTTCAATAAACCGTTAATTATTATTATTATTATTACACACACACACACACACACACACACACACACACACACACACACACCGATAGATATAAGAATAGCACCATCCCATCTATTGTTAAAATAATAAACAACTCCTGATTTATGTACTGTACAGCCCTGTAAATGGATTCAACACATATTATATCATTATATCTAAATCAAATGTAAGTCTGTATATTTTCAGCCACCGGCTGCAACTCTATTAATAAACCGTTTATTAATATTATTATTATTATTATTATTATTATTATTATTATTATTATACACACACACTACTGAGTATTTGCTGTCAAAAGTAACTGCACACACGTATTCTAGTTTCATTCGCTGTTGAGCATTCATTTCTACTGGTGTAAGAGAAGTGTTCTCCTATGTTACTCGCCTTCCACAATAAGGCCATAGACCTGCTTTACGCCTCTCTCTTCACACAAGCCATGTTCCGCTGATTCACACACACTTATACTCTCTCTCCTCTATACAGCATATGGAGAGAAAGAGAGAGAGAGAGAGAGAGAGAGAGAGAGAGAGAGAGAGAGAGAGAGAGAGAGAGAGAGAGAGAGAGGCTTGTCTTAGTCGTCAGTACATCAAATAAATTAACAACTATTGCATAAGCAAAGGAAAAGATATAGAAACCTACACAAAAACGTGAGAAAAGAAAATGTGAAATAAAAAATAAAAACTACATTATGAAGCTGCCTTATAAAGCTGAGGGCGAATTGGATCTCACTTCTCAACACAGTAGATTAAAAGGTCTTGGAAACATAATACTGAGTTAATTATAACGCACACCTCTCCTTTACCATATCCTTCACGGCTCCTGAACACTATATCCATCTTTCATTAAGTTCTCCTCCTATTTGCTGTCACAGGAGCCACGAGGGAAGGAATGTTGCCGGGAGGGGGCAGCGTGTCTCTCTCATTTTCTAAATTCTTTGACAATATTCACTTTAAAGCAACATTTCTTCTCAGGAGAGACCTCGCTGATGTTTCACTAACTTCATTTTTTACATCTTTTAATAGTGTTTTATTTTCTCATTTTTTAGATAGTAACTCTTGAGTACGATGCCAAGCACCTGAGTACAGTGGATTAACCCACGAGAAAGAAAAACCTTGAGTACAATGACATATCCTCCTTGATTATGTTTTTTTTTTTAATTTACAGATTTTAACCCGTTTGAATAGAAAGTCCTATTGTCTCTAGTCAATAAATACTACTACTGTTCTATGAACAGTATAACTAATGCAATTATATATCTGTATATTACGTGACCACTGCTCTTAATATATTTTATATCCCACCACTACCGCATGATATACATGTATTGCAGGCAGTAAGAGAGCGACGGTTGGAGTAAACAAACTGCGAACGAAAACATTGAAATTTAGAAACGCAAAGACATATTTAATGAAGGTGACAGGGGTCACCCTCACCAAATGAAAAGTCACGTTCATGTTTGTTTTTGTATTTGAAGAATAAACATTATGAAACAATTGGCAGAAAAACAAGTATCTGCGCCTGTGTCTCGTCCGTCTGGATATTACACAATTATCATTGACATTATTGAAAATTACTGAGGCGCATACTTTGTAATATTTTCAAAAGTGATAAAACTATGAAACCATTTCAGGGAACTTTGTTGATGTTATTGTCAACATATGCAAATCAACAGCCGTGAAATTCAAAATTTTTGTCAATATTTATTTGTTTAATTAATAACATGCAATATATCACAAATGATAATTCGTACATGTTTTTTTTCTGAAGGTCATTTGAAGGTTGTAATAAATTGGCGATAAATTGTTCTGCTGCTTATCAATATTTTATGAGCTACATACAGAATACACACACACCCACCACCACTATGTTAAGGCAAAAATTACGTAAGGCTCGGGTAATTAAGCTTGATTTGTAGAGTTCCCTCACGATATAACAAATACTTTGCATTTGAACAGCTTTGATTAGTTCTCTTTATAATATATAATTGAAACCATTAAGGCAGTGTTATCTTTTGTATGCATAGTTTTGGTTTCTACTTAAGCTTGATGTTATAATTATGAACACATTTTGTATGTTTTTTATACCTTTTTATACATAGCCAAGTAGCTTAATCGGGTATGAGGCAGGACTGAAGATGGTAGGGTAGAGTTACGGGGGAATAACATGGCATAACATCAAGGACTTAGCGGATATCATAAAGTCATTCTGGTGCAAGTTCGAGGCGCCTTTCATCTACGACGGATCAACAGCCTCTTTCATACCTCAATTCAGACAAAAAATTCTGGTTTGAAACTTACTTTAGTTATTTATTCATGTTCGTCTTTTTTCTTCTCGGTTCATAATCTTTGTACAGCTTTATTCATTTCTGCATTATTACTGATTTATTTTAATTGAACGTCATTTATCCTTGTTTTCTCATCTTCTTTTCTATCAGACTTTTTTTTTTTTTAAGATTCGACAAATTTGATGAGGCTCCCAGCTGTAGAAGCACCAAGGAGGAAACATTCTAACCATTCCGTAAAATATCCCAAGCAGAATGAACACGAGTTAACATTTTCAAACAGAGAGGATTTTATTCTTGTCAATAGGAAATTTGTTGAAAATTCTTATGAAGTATTTTGTGTTGAGTTTTAGTTTTCCTTGACGGTGTCTCACATATTATATTCTCCTGAAACGAAAACAAAAAAGTAAAACAAATGTTTTGTGAGGAACCCAACTAACTATCACATTTTTGACTTAATAAGTAAAATTAAACAATAACCGTGTTATATTTTATATCCGCCTTTACAAACAAATTCATATCTGAGCTTTAGACAAAATTACTGTAGAAACTTTAATTCATGCATGATGTTATAATGTACCATTAAACGCATCTCTCTGAGCAGTATGTAGACTGAAACCATTGAAGTTTTCTACTACCACCTCTCCGTACAGTCACGTCTCAACTTTAGATAACATTTATTTTATTTTTTTCACTTCAGTATAATGTTAGCTATTGTTAAAATGGATCTGTTGGATAAAAGACAAAGATGATTCATTAATATAGATCTTTACCTCGTGTGTTTCAGACCTTCTTGGGCTCTCGGGTAAAGTTTGCTAGCATTTTTTCTTTTGAGGTAAAGGTTATAGGTTATGTTAGGCTAGGTAGGGTAGGATTGGGTAGGTTAAGGTAGGGTAGGGTAGGGTAGGGTAGGGTAGGGTAGGGTAGGGTAGGGTAGGGTAGGAATATCAAGTTATGTGTATATTTAGGTAACAACTTGAGTTGGTTGAACGCGTACCACTGTTAGTTTTAATCTGATGTCAGTGATGTGTATCTCACCGGGACACTGCTGGCGATATAACTAAATACAACGGTCAGATGAGGAACGAGTTTTTCCCAGTTTAGGTTCTGCATATTTTATTTGTTTATATTGTGTATCCTACGAGGCACCACAACACAATTTGTTTGTGTTTGTGTTTTGGCTTTGTGCACTCATCTCTCCGTTCAACAATCTGTCGCGCTGATTGACTTACTACACACACGGACTTCCACTAAGGTCATACATACAGTAAGCAGGAGGAGTACTGAGGAGGCAAAAGATACATTTTATTTTGACCTTGACTTCTGAATGACACCTGTGCTCCCCTCAATACACCTTTGGTCAATTTATACTGCATTTCATGTTTATTTCCCCCCTCATGAAAATTAGTAAGCTAAATTATTTTTAAGGTACTAAAATACATTAGATGTTACAGTGACGAAGTTTTATACAGTTCTGTAAAGTTTTTATATTCGTCTCACTTCCACTTCATATCTGCGTTATAACACAATATACATATGACAAATCAAGTCAAACAGTAATGCTAATACGCAAAAGAAAGTAGCTGAAAACAGAACATTACCTGCCTCCTCCTCCCCTATAAAACGAAACAAAAAAAAACACGACTCTCCGCCATCTATAAAATCACTTTATGGGAAATTTGCAAATGCTATACACCATTTCCGATAATGTGTGTAACCCCGTACTCCAATTTAGCCTTTAGACATAAATTAACTAACACGCTTGTGCAGCCTTTATTGATCCCTGATCGTGACTCTCCCGTCGTTAAGCCAAGTTTGATGGATTGATTAAGAAAAGCTATTTAACATTTCATATGAATGTTAGAATTTGTGTAGTAATATATGGTGACTCGTGTTACCTTCCTCCCCGTCAGGTGTGTGTGTAGAGGGCGGGTGGAGCAGTGATGGCCCACAGTTCGGGGTCGCCCAGGATCGTGTTACAGTGGTACAGGGCCACACGGCCAAGCTGCCCTGTATTGTCCACAACCTTCATGACAGATCCGTGAGTAACACCGTGTGTGCATGTGTGTGTGTGTGTGTCAAAATATTATCGCATATTATACGTCATGTCATCAATATTGTTACCAATCCTTTCTCAGTTGATTTTGTCATTTCCACAGGTTAAACCATTCATTATTTTTTTTTACTTAAAATTGGTTTCATTATCATTTTATTCTTACTCTTATTATTATTATTATTATTATTATTATTATTATTATTAAATTTTTCATCTAAATAAGCGTAACCTCATAAAATTATCACCATGTTTATTACATTTGGACATACAGGATATGTGTAAGTTGGTGTCGTTAATGAACTTGCAATTTCTCTGGTGAGCAAACTTACTGGACTCAGAGGTCTTTGAATTTCTTAATGACTCATGGACCCTTTGATGATATGTCCAGACTGGTTGAATTACCAACACAACCCATTATTATACGTAAACCTAACCTATCAAGTAAATCTTATAGCTGCTTTCATTATGACTATTTACTACTTTTTACAGGGTGTTAGTTTAAAACCCTTGAACCTTATATAGTTTTGACTAAAGATGAAGGGAGGAGCTGTGTTGGCTGATGCTTCTTGAAGACCTTATGGATATCCTCCCCCTAACCTAACCTAACCTTTACCGTAAGGATTCCCTGGACCATAGTACGATATTTTCTTCAGCAACTATCAAAGGACTTATTTATGTTGTTTTTTTCTTGTATGGTCGAGTCTACCCTTTAAAAAAATATATACTTGAAAGACATTATTGTGACAATATTTTAAACACATTTCGGCTTTTCTTTCATTTATTATTATACTTTGGGTCTTTACATTAAAGAATCAAAATAGAGCTTATATTATTTATATATTTCATACAATTACAAAACAGCAGCAATTAACATTTTGAACTCAGAGTAAATCCTTATCTCAATTTATTCTTCAGTATTTCGCGCAATATGACGTCGTAATTCGTAACTGGTATTTTCTTACAATTTAAATACAAAACAAACACCACTGGAATTAATGGACGAGTATTTTGTTGAGCAACAGAGTACGGATCATCACAACGAACTGTGATCAAAGCTCCCCGCCTTCTTTCTGTCCCTCATATTAGATGTTACTTCCAAGGTGGAATTCTCAAAGGCAGAACTATCATTTTGACGAACTAATTAAAGGTAATTTGTTTTTAATTTATAGCTACTCTGTCATGAATTTCACATCTCTATTCCATATATACCAAACCATTAGGCTTCTATAACCAGAAGACACGAAGATTAAGAGCACACAAATGTTGGTACATGATCACGAGAAAATGGGTAAGTGGTTGCGATATGAGAGTGTGTTCACACATTCAGTTTCGCAAACGAGTTTTCCCAAACAGACGCAAACAATTCTCTCGGGAGGACACTGAGCCTCTTTATGGTTCCACAGAACGACATTACACCGCCCATTATCTCATGCATAACATCTCGCGTATCATATTACCATCTATCCTTCGCCTCATTTATCTTCTACACTGCCTTCGATATATGAGGACATGTTCCTACTCTGCTCAGGTGTTGTTGGTAAACAATACATTTAACGTTGCTACGTCGCCTCTCCGAGTATTGTGGCGTAAGGTAAAGGTACACTGTAGCTGGCTCATCAGCACCACCAAGTTCCCGGGAGACTTTCGCAGGAGCTCCCACTTTCGCAGGAGCTCCCTCACATGTTTTAGCACGAGAACTACAGCCTGTAATTTCCAGCGATACCACAATGGATTCAGCCACGTCGTGTGGTGCATTGTTGAAATTGGATAGACAATTGTACGCGATGGCTCAATGCAGGCGAGGCAATGCATCGGGAATTACTGGCAGAGCTGCTGGGAGATGATGGCGGGCGGCGGTGGATCTGCTGAACATAATACAGACGTAAGATGCTCACAGGCATAAAGCCCTAATATGTATGCATTACCTGGTTGACTACCAACAGTATGGTCGTGCTGGTATGTATTATCATACAAAGATTCTCTTGAGTTCTTTCATCGTAAACGTTCCGCTTTTACTGTATTTTTCTTACTCCTAATTCTTGATCAAAGTTATATATATATATATATATATATATATATATATATATATATATATATATATATATATATATATATATATATATATATATATATATATATATATATATATATACCAGTGTACTCTATTTTCACTAATAAGTCTATAATACTGTATCTTCACTCCTGTAGACTACATATTGTCCCTAACTCTCTTTTGCGTGTTTTTCCAGCCTCGTTCCTCTCCGTCTCTCACACACACTCACTGCCTCCTTCGGTATAATTCATCCATCCATCATCTTATTTATCCTGAACGCCACAAGCAAAATACACACTGCCATTTCCAGCTGTGCTGATGAATGGTGGTTCTAGATATCGTTTTGATTTTAAAAGGTTTTTTAATATGTTGTTGACGAGGAAAATAAAAATTAATATTGCGCCATATATATTCAGTACATTGATCATATGTAACTTGTTTAACTTTTTCATCAATTATGAATTTACTTTTTTATTTGTGTTCATGATCAGGGAAGCATATCACTATCACTTTGGTTATTCTGGTAAGTTGTTTGATGTGACAGGTGCTGTGGGTTAGTAAGTCAGACGCTGTGTTTGTGTGACTCAGACACTGTGTTTGTGTGGTTCAGACGCTGTGTTTGTGACGCATCTTAACTGTATATGCATTCAGACGGCCTTTAATTAAGTCTGATGATTTAACTAATATCCTGGTGCTGGAAGAAAATTTTGGCCTTGGCGACTTTTCTTATTATACATTACTTGTTCATTAAATTTCTCTTTATTCAATATATTTATTTTATTTCTTGTGTTCATGAAATCCTTCCATAATTGTTTAAATCTCATACCGAGTGATTTTATTCGAATATTTTCCCGTAATCATGATAATAATATTGAACACTACTATGATTGTTATTCCTAGACAGAATTATTTGGTGATGATCTTCTGTGTCGTCTGTTTCACTCTCAGGTGACGTGGCTGAGGCGGCGAGACTTACACATTCTGACAGCGGGTCACCACACCTACTCCGCCGACGAGAGGTTCCAGGTACGTCTTCCCTCTCCTTCCCCCTCGCCCCCTCCTACGCTCTGGTCGTCGCTAGCACTCGGCTAATTTAATGCACCCGGTCAGTCCTCCATAACTTCTACCACCCATCCCCCCTCCTACCTCACCCCAACCTTCTCCTTCTCCCCCCCTACACACACACACACACTCACACACACCCGATCTGTCAATAAACTCTCACACGTACAGGGCACCACAGGTGTTCAATTGATTAAAGATCCCAGGTTCTCCCATCCCTTTCCCATACACAAAGTCACCACAGCTACTCAGTCGATTAAACTTTATTGGTCGATCATCTACCACTTCTTTATCTCCCGTCACCTCCCCACACACCCGGGTCTCCCCACATCCCCCACACCTAGGTCTCCCCTCACCCCCCCCCAACCAGGTAAAAAATCGGTTATGTCGACCAGAATTTCCAGGTATATCGCCCTCCCTATCCCCCTGACAATTATCAATAAACTTCAAGGACATCACCTCCCGTGTCTCTCCCCTTTCCTTGTTACAATATTACCGTCAGGTAGGTCTCCACTGCCTCTGTCCTCCCTGGCTGCTGCTCGCTTCTCCAGTCTTACATTTTATCGTCTTCATAAGTTCGGCTTATCGTCGTGAGTTCCTTGACGTTCTTACATGACAAATAATATGTATCATTCACGAGGAAAAAACAACATTGAAATTGGTTACGCTACATTATCTGACTGTTTTTTAATCTATAATTAATTTTCGGTCTTGGAAAATATTGTTGAATGTTTTCCACGGATTCTACTTTAGAATAGCAGAATGTGACCATATAAACGAATTCGTGTGTGAGGTAATATTCACGACAGAATATGACCTAAACCTTGGTAGTGGCCGGCAATCTCACCAAAACAATCATCACTGATATGAAAATAAAAATACTGAAAAGAAAACTTAAAATAAATTAATTACAACACGGTAAACACCTGCCGTTCCAGAGAGGTGACAAGCCTTGGGGGAATGCTAGATATTTAATACCTACCAACCAAGATACTCAGCCGGGAAATGGATTCATAAGTGAGCGGGATAACGCGAGTAAGAGACGCCTGGCTGGAATGGCCGGCGTCAAGGTTTGTGTTGCAAGGATGGCTGCTCCCTGCTGCCTTGTGTTGCAAGGATGGCTGCCCCCTGCTGCCTTGTGTTGCAAGGATGGCTGTCCCCTGCTGCCTTGTGTTGTAAGGATGGTTACCCCCTGCTGCCTTGTGTTACAAGGGTGGCTGCCCCTGCTGCCTGTGTTGCGAGGATGGCTGCCACCCTGCTGCCTTGTGTTGCAAGGATGGCTGCCCCCTGCTGCCTTCTGTTGTGAAGATGGCTACCCCCTGCTGCTTTGTGTGGGAAGGGTGGCTGCCTCCTGCTGCCTTGTGTCGCAAGGGTGACTGCCCCCTACTGCAAGGTCTAAAATGGGATACTGCCTCCTAGAGCTGGGCGCTGAAAATAGTGTCTTTCTGATGTTACAAGTCGAGTCCCACCAGCAGCTGTGTCACTCGTGCCTTAGATGAAAGCAATGAAGCTGATGGTGATGGGAATGATGGTAATGATGCTTACTGTGAAAGCCTTGTTATGACGACAGTAGTGTTGACCGTTACTGTCAAAGTATTAGGAATATTATTAACACTAGAGGCAACGCACCTTAATGGTCTTTATCATGAAAAATAAATGCAATGTGGCTTTTAGTTGCCTTTAATGATTATTACTTATGTAGAATCCGCCACTGTGCTTCCATTAATATTGATAATAATCTGGTCACACGGATACTCTTACTAATGGAAACACAGCTCCAACCTGTACTGGAATACTCATGCAGTGCTGAGGCAAACGTTGACATGGGCGGGTCTTTACCGTAAACATCGCCACTGGTTTTAACATCATACACATAAACACTTGGCTATAAGTGTCGTGATTCCATTTTTACCATTGATGCAGTTACACATGTATGTATGTATGTATGTATGTATGTATGTATGTATGTATGTATGTATGTATGTATGTATGTATGTATAAATTTAAAAAAAAATCTAGATATCTTGAACCAATTTACACATGTATCTTAGACTGTAATCAGCAAAAAATTATGATGACTGATACGGGGGTGTGAAAAAAGTTACCGACCTCGCGCGAAAACATGATTACAGCGCCTTGAAAACATGTGATATGGCAAGGGTGGCAAAACGTAGCAACTTGCACGGGGAGAACATGCATCACGATGATAAACTGTCGGTAGTCACACACACACACACACACACACACACACACACACCTCCAACTTCATATAAAAAAAAATTATTTTTTACTTTCTTGTCCTCAGGGGTGGTAAGAAACAAAAAAAATAGTTGTTCAGACACGTGATAACCTTGAAGGAGCCAGCAACTCTTCGTCTCTGCTGTAAACGATATCTCATTCATCTTAATGTGTTCTCGTGATGTTAACTGCAACAGCCATGCCTTTTACGTGTCTGTTTTTTGTCTTCAAAACTTTATTCTTAGTAAGCTGTTCACTAATTCTGGTGTCTCCCTCCCTCACTAAGTAAACAACAAAACAGTTCTCGTTGGAATAGTTATCTCGATGAAACAGTCAATAACATGGCGGCGGATGTGACACGTACCTTAATGAACTTTTTTCCACATATGTATTAAGCTTTTTGTTATTTGAATTGTATTTAGGTTAGGTTAGGTTAGGTTAGGTTAGGTTAGAGTCATTGTACCGTACGTAGTGATGTCATCTATCACCTTTACTAGAGACAATGTCGAGGAAGAGGAAGCAGTGTATGAAGAAAAATTCATTGACAGAAGATACATCACCTTGATCAATAAACATGCCTTTGAACGGAGACAGAATGACAGACAATACGAATTTATTTTCAATTCAAACCCTAGCAGGTATTCAAATATTTTATCTATATAATTTCACAACATTCATAACCTCATATCTTTATTTCAAGTTTTCAAATAAATGTTGCGATGTACATACTAAACGTACAACAACTCACTGCAAATTAACTTAGCCTGTTGGCCACTTGAACACTCCCTTTCATGAGTCTTCTATTGAACACAAGTACTACAGCGATAACTCAGCGTGATGTATGTTATTTACTCTCGGTTCACGATTCGTTTTACATTACAATAGTGTTTGAGTATATTAGCATATAAATAACCTATTGCTGCCATAAAATAACAACTAACAGACTTTCTCTTCACTCTGGAAACCCAGGAAATGATCACTCAAGTATAACACAAGAGATATTATATAGCATTAATTGTGCAACTGTTTAAGAGTTTCTGTGACTCGCCAGTCGAGGAAGTTACCCTAATACTGTGCGTGAGAGAACTTCTATATTTCGTTCCTGATTAGACTGCAATATTGTCCTGACCCTCGAAAACATTTCTTATTATCCTAATGGAAATTTTTATTATTCGGATCAATTAAACAAAAATGATCAATTACCACAACTTTATCTCACACAATATGAATACGTACATATACCACACTGAATCCATTGAGGACCTTTCAATCAGTCCTCTGCGATTCTAAGACATTCAGAAAGTTATTTATACCACTCATCTAATAGACAGCGCTGTTGTTGCTTTACACACACAGTTACACGATGAGTAATGTAGGAGTCAGCTTGTTCTTGCAAATTAAAACAAGAGCCTGTGGATGGGGGCCCCTCCTGACACACGCGTTAATCAGTGGGAAGTGTAATGTGTAAATTATCTCACAACTGGTGCTCCTCCGTGGCCACTCTGTCACAAACTTCCTTACTTCAGAGATGGAAATACAGGCTGTATAACCTTTCGTTTGTGAATGTAAAGTTAAAATTATTTTGTATTTATTACAAAAAGAACTAATACTAATAAATAAAAGAATAAATAAGAGAAGGAATATAGAATTTAATACACTTCAGAAGTTCTCATATCACCCACTGGGATAATATTTAACTGGGGATCAGGGAGCTGCTTGTGTACTGTACACAAAGAGTTAGTCATCATATGAAGCTTCACGAACATCAGACCAAATACCCTGGAAGGCATAGCGGATGCACAGTCCTTAAACATGTCTTAATCATTAAACTAAACATAGATCAGGTCAAGTACCTTAGAGGAGTTGGTAGATACACAGACCCAGAAAATTGTCTCTTCTCTGATATTACCAATTTATTAACCTCGGTTCAAGTGCCCCGAAGGAGATGATAGATTCACATTAATAATTTATAACCAAGCCAAGAACTACACTGGATATGATGGAGGATAAACTGAGCTTAAAATCGTTGTATTGATAATGCCGAGTGTGTGTGTTTTGGCAGGTAGTGCACGCTGAAGGTAGTGACGAGTGGACGCTGGTTCTGCGCTACGTGCAGCTGAGGGACGCCGGCGTGTACGAGTGTCAGGTCAACACCGTCCACAAACTGTCTCGCCCCGTCACCCTCACCGTCCTGGGTAAGTCAATTTCACATTCTTCAGTAACAACGAAACCTATATTTACACATTTCAATTTTGTTTTGGTGATTTATGATAGTGTGTCTCATCAACCACCATCATGTTAGGAATGATAATCGTACTCTTTTTATTCTTTGGTATAATACACTTCCTCTCTTAGTAATAACATCAATAACAGTATAGTAGATTGGATGATAGTCTTAGAGGTGATAGTAATAAGTGTTGCTATAATAGTACTAGTTGTAGTATTCGTAAGAGTAGTTCTAGTATAATAATAATAATAATAATAATAATAATAATAATAATATACCATTCGATTTGTGACAACATAATTAAACTCACAAACAGAAATGAATAGATACAATGAGTCTAACTTAAGCTGAATACGAAAATGTAATCCTTTGTTATTTTTTTCTATAGTGCCTTGGGAAATTAACCATATAACCAAATTGCTCTAAACATTACCACACGTGCAAATGATATAAGGTAGAACTTAACACTATCATAACTCCGACCTTAGTGTTGTGCATAGAAGACATTGTTAGAGCCTCCACCCTGTGATAAATAAACCACATGTCCACAGCTGATGCATTTCCTTCCTACATCTTCATTATTGTCTGGAGAGAAGCACATGTATCTGTGTGTTAGAATTAGCGTAATGAAAATATATATGAGGCTTTATGACCATCCAGTAACGACTATGGATTTTATTGTGGCTCAACTTTTACGTAGGTTATCATTATTGTATTCTTAATTAATTGTAAAGGTTTAAATACGACTGACTATTTGTGGACTAAACTGACAGATTATGAAGTGTTTTGGGTCCATATTAGTGAGTTGTAGCCTCATCAGCTTAAAACACACATACAGGGTATATATATAAAGTGAAAAGATATCATGTTATGAGGAAGAATTGGCGAATAAAATTTTCCACACAAAATATAATTATAAAACATTCCTATAATCTGCTTTTATATTTAATAGAATTCAACGAGTATAATACTTCGAATGCGCAGCGAAAATCCATACAGTGAAAACAAATAAAGATTAAAAGAATCAAATAGTATACAATTTTATGAAATATAATTTTTATTAAAGCGTATAGCGAACTGGAAAATATAACGTATAAATCGATGGAAATTGTAACGCATATTAATGCATCGCTTTCAAATAACTAAACATTTCTTTTGAAGTGTAAATTAACATTTCTACTGAATAGTTTCACATGAACACAAATTGTTTATTGAGCGTAAAATTTTTGATAAATAATTAAGCAACAACACAATCATCACATACATTGCCTGGCGCTTCCATTATCTGAATCTTGTCCACAAAAAGTTTCACAGAGAAAGTTTGATATTAGAGATCTTGGGGATAATTAATTTTTTTATTATTATTTTTTGGTTGATGCCATTCTCATGATTCACTCTACTTAAGCGGTATAAATAATAATAATAATAATAATAATAATAATAATAATAATAATAATCATCTTATTGTTATTGTTTCAGTGAATATTAATTTTCATTACACTAAAAATTCGACAATACCATTATGTGTAATGGCTGTGTGAGCTTTCATAATTACCGTAATACTATGTGGCTTACTTGGCATTTAACAGAAATTAGACTTATTACATTTGTGAAACACTCCCATGTAGGTTGATACGCTGGGATTCCTGAAACTATTGCTCTTTGAGACAATTGTGTTGGGTGAGTGAGTGGAATGTGTGGCTGGGCGGAACCACTTTACCAATGTTACTCTCTACACAATCATCACCAGCCTCCTGATACATACGGGACGCAGCTGCATAAATGACTAAGGAAATGTTCACAGGAATAAAGCCAAAATATATGTTGATATGACTGGAAAAACATTCTATTTTGCATGAAGTAAGTATGTAAAGGAAGGTATCAACATATAAGATTTATCAGCCCCTTCTTAAAACAAAAGAAAAAAATAAATTGACCCAATTACCCAATGTGCCTTTGAAGACTTCGTAAAAGTCTAGAAGTTGATCAGGATGGCGTGTATAGTGAGATGTGGAAGGTCTGTGTTCATTTATATGGTATTAAAACTCCCAGAATGGCCCCTAAGGAACCTCACAATAGTAACCAGATTAAGGATGCTAGATAAGCCTTTCACAGAGTTACCACATCTCACTATACGTGCCAGCTACTGTACCAGGCATAAGTGCAGGCGACTGTACGCCACAATAACACATTCTGTGTATTGGGCCGTCCAGTTGCGTGAATAAGTTTCCTTACAACACATTCCAATATTACGCCAACTAAACTGACAATATTCCTTCCAGTCTCTAGCTATACTAACAAATGTGGTAGATTACCAAAGTAGAGAACAAGTAGCAATTTCACCAACCGTATCACAGTGGAAAATAATTCTGAGAGGAAATTGTTCTGACTTAGTGAAAAGATCTGTGAATAAAGGATAGTGGTTTTAGAAAGTTATTTGCGGAATAGATAAACTATAACTATAAGAAATGTAAGAATTTCCCACTTTCAAAATCAGAGTCCTTGGTGATGGGGTACAAGCATGAAATACATTACATGGTGAACAAGCGAATATTTGCATTACTCTCTTCATACTTTACACATGTTTGATAATAACAACATAGCAATTAGGATTATTTTTACATCTTCTCCCACCTCCAGTACATCTAAGTGTATTTCATATATTAGAAGGTTGTGCAAGCTGTGCCCTTGTTAACTGATCTCCTCTGTGTTAACAGATCCCCGGCTGCGTGGCACCAAGTCTAAAGTGTTTGTGGCCAACAACACTGCCTCCACCAAGGACGGTTCGTCACCAGAATTTCGATTTTGTATTTCCTTCTCATCTTGAGGGATGTCTCTGAATATATTTCGACTAAGAGCTTTTATTTTTTTATTTTTTTTATTTATTTTTTAACTCTTGTTCGTGTGTATACTTGTGTAAGTCCGTCTGTCGGAGTAATGAGTAATTACTTAATGCCCTCTAGTCATCGAATTTACCTGTTTTGAAATTGTCTTGAATTACCTTTCACTTAATTTATGAATATTCTGTCATTTTTATATTATGCTTATCTCTGTTTATGTCGAGTTTCTCCTTGCGAGAGTCTAGTACTTACCTCCGTGTGAGTGTGTTTAGCGCTTATCTCCGTGTGAGTGTATGCCTAGTGCTTATCTCCATGTGAGTGTATGCCTTGCACTTATCTCCATGTGAGTGTGTCTAGTGCTTATCTCCGTGTGAGTGTATGCCTAGCACTTATCTCGGTGTGAGTGTACGCCTAGTGCTTATCTCCATGTGAGTGTATGCCTTGCACTTATCTCCATGTGAGTGTGTCTAGTGCTTATCTCCGTGTGAGTGTATGCCTAGCACTTATCTCCGTGTGAGTGTATGCCTAGCACTTATCTCCGTGTGAGTGTATGCCTAGCACTTATCTCGGTGTGAGTGTACGCCTAGTGCTTATCTCCATGTGAGTGTATGCCTTGCACTTATCTCCATGTGAGTGTGTCTAGTGCTTATCTCCATGTGAGTGTATGCCTAGTGCTTATCTCCATGTGAGTGTATGCCTTGCACTTATCTCCATGTGAGTGTGTCTAGTGCTTATCTCCATGTGAGTGTATGCCTAGTGCTTATCTCCATGTGAGTGTGAGTGCTTATGCCTAGTGCTTATCTCCATGTGAGTGTATGCCTTGCACTTATCTCCATGTGAGTGTGTCTAGTGCTTATCTCCATGTGAGTGTATGCCTAGTGCTTATCTCCATGTGAGTGTATGCCTTGCACTTATCTCCATGTGAGTGTGTCTAGTGCTTATCTCCATGTGAGTGTATGCCTAGTGCTTATCTCCATGTGAGTGTATGCCTTGCACTTATCTCCATGTGAGTGTGTCTAGTGCTTATCTCCATGTGAGTGTATGCCTAGTGCTTATCTCCATGTGAGTGTATGCCTTGCACTTATCTCCATGTGAGTGTGTCTAGTGCTTATCTCCATGTGAGTGTATGCCTAGTGCTTATCTCCATGTGAGTGTATGCCTTGCACTTATCTCCATGTGAGTGTGTCTAGTGCTTATCTCCATGTGAGTGTATGCCTAGTGCTTATCTCCATGTGAGTGTATGCCTTGCACTTATCTCCGTGTGAGTGTATGCCTAGTGCTTATTTACTCAGCTTCTTTATTTTGTTCCGGACCTCTAATCAAATTTTCAAATAAACAGTGAGTGAATTTTTTCCTTCGAATTTATGGATATTTACAAAATACAGTACTCTAATGTATATTCACATATTGTATTCACGCGTATGGAAATATATATGATGAGGTCTACAGTATACTGATACGTCAACATTGATTATCTTGATCAGTTTTCATCCCTCATCTCACCTGTATACTATCTGTTTGTGATTTTTCTCATATCGGATGAATTTTCAATCAAAACATTGATCCGACCAGTCAAAATATGGCTGATAATCTTGGCTGATTAGCTGGGTCGTTTTACTCTTCCAGAATGTTTACTAATTCTAAATCATATCAGTGTTTAAATGTTTATGTTCTCTTTTCGTTACGGATCTGTGTTGTGAAATGAAGCGCGCGCACGCACGATCGCGCGCGCGCACACACACACACACACACACACACGTATTTATGTTATGTACCAAAATAGTCTCCGACTTGTAGGTCAACTACGGGTGGAGATAGAGGGGCCACGAGAGGTGTATATAGAGGAAGGGTCTTCCCTTAGCCTGACATGTGTGGTGACAGCCTCCCAGCAGCCCTCTACCTTAGTCTACTGGTACCACGACACCAGCCTCGTCGACTACAACTCCCCGAGAGGCGGAGTTCACCTCAAGGTAGGTTCTCCTATACTAGTGCAGTGGCATAAGAAGTGTCAATTTTCAATTTTTGTCGCATAACATATATGCCACAGCTATTGTTACATTAACACCAGTATTGTGGCACAACTACAGTCACACCAGTTTCAAACGATTACGATAGAATCATGTAGTTAAATTCAACTATTGAAAAAAATAGAGAAATCGGAATCTACTCGTATGTTTTTAAGCTTTGAGATGTGTGTAAATTTTTAGTCGACTTGAGGCCTAGTCGTAACATAACTACAACAACTCCATTATCTGTTATTTATGACATGCTCCTGCCAACCACCATCACCATTCGTTAGACCACTAATATTTGCTATATAACATTAACCACTAACTTAAGTCAATAAAACGATATTAAATCACTAACACAACAGTAAGTCAGCCATTATGACGTCACTAACGAGACCTGCTGTATCTAGATTGACCGAGGTCGTGGAGAGACGACAACCCGCCTGGTGGTCTCAGCTGTGGGCCCTGGCGACTCCGGCATGTACTCCTGTGTACCCGAGGGCTCCCATCCCGCCACTGTATTAGTACATGTACACCAAGGTTAGTAGTGTATACTCATCTACCGTACTAGTACACATAGGTAGTAGGCAGCTACCAAACAGGGAGGTACTACCGCCTGGGAAGATACTGGAAGCATAATGTGTTGTCTAATGGTAGACCCTGCTGCTATATGTGACCAAGTCCCAGGTTGATGATCTGACTTTCTGCCTCATTTACACACAATTGCAGGGTCTCAATTGTTTCTCTTGCCCTTGACAAACACATGCATATATAGTTTCTCACTATTTATTTATTTATTTTTCATTATTGTATTTCTTTGTTTCTTTGTTATTATTATTATTGTTGTTATCATTATTATTTAGTATTTATATTTTTGTATTCTTTATTGTAAATTTTACTTATCTGAATTATTATTATTATTATTACTATTATTATTATTATTATTATTACATTTTCGCCCCCTAGGCCCCGCTGTGGGTCAGTGACCTGTGCCCGGGTGGGCTAATCCCCGTAAAAAAAAAATCATATATATATATATATATATATATATATATATATATATATATATATATATATATATATATATATATATATATATATATATATATATTTATATGGAGGTCAGTGTATCCTGGCAACTTGAGTACACCCCCACCACCGTGTAGGAATATATACATGGAAATCGCTACATATTGTCACCATAAAGGTACGCGCGCGCACGCACGCACGCACGCACGCGCACACACACACACACACACACACACACACACACACACACACACACACACACACACACACACACACACACACACACACACACACACACACACACACACACACCCCATCATAGACACACAAACTGATATTGCATTGAAAATCTTAAGAGTCCTGGATCCAGAGACATTCTTTAGCAAGTCATATCCTACATATATGTTTTATATTAGTGACAAAGTACATTCTCGTAATATATTCAGTAAAGTATTAACAAATATTAATGTTAATTATATAATCATAAATTAAAATTTCTAAATATGCTCATATTGTACAAATTTAAAAGAACAATACAGCATTTTATGTCGTGTAATAATGAAGCTGACCTTGTGTATTTGCAGGGGAGAACGAGGCGGCCATACAACAGGGCGGCCTCAACCAGAGCTCCTCACTTCGTCCTTCCCCTTCACCTCTCCTCTTCTCTTACCTCCTGCTCTCACTCCTTAATTTAAGCTTCAACTTACGCCCCACACACCCTTTACTATATTACCTTCTGTGTATGCTTTCAACAGCTGCCGTCCTATCAGTTATTCCAATCACGTGGGACGTCCCTATCTCGGCCGTAATGTCTTCTCCTTTTCTTTTAATTTTATCATTTCTCGCCATCTATTCCTCACAATCATCAGCTTCAGCGTGATATCAGCAATATAGCTTTGATTTCTGTGCTACATTTGTTTATTTATGTTTGACACGTTCTTGAGAGCATTTGCATCTCAGGATATCATACCGTGCTGATTCTGACTAATATTTTTAAATATTTTCTTTTGTTTTAGATAGGCGCAGATATCAGCTGTTACCTCTCATCTTAAATTTCACTTGATGTGCCTCCAACCTCCACATTCAATCTTTTATTTATTTTTTCTGTTTTTCTTTGTGTTCTGTATTCCATATTTTATTTATCTTATTTCCTTCTATCTTCCATGTCCTATTGTCCTTTCATCATCTATGATTCGTCTTTCCCGTTTCTCCGAAGAATATGTGAACGATGAATTATGCTTATTTCGATTGTACATCGGGAAATAAATATTGAATGCAATAGAAACCCCCAAAAATTGGGATTCTTGAAATAACAATATGAAAAGAATATAATCATTAATCTGAAAAGACTAACTCAAGAAAATAATAACTTCTCTAAGATGAAGTGCGTCACTTGTTCTGAGTAATACTTGTTAAATTATATAGAGTAAAAAAGAAGAAAAAAAAAGAAAGCAAAACGAGTATACATTTTACAGTGTTATCCCAAAGAGAATGATTGTTATGTACAGCGACAAAGCAATACTGAAGAGAAACTCGAACTTGTTCACATTGCTTACAGTAAAAGATTGAAAGGCTGCTTGCTTCACTAACAACACCATCATGCCACTAACAACACCGTCATGCCACTAACAACACCGTCATGCCACTAACAACACCGGCATACTACTAACAACACCGTCATGCCACTAACAATACCGTCATGCCACTAACAACACCGCCATGCCACTAACAACATCGCCATGCCACTAACAACACCGTCATGCCACTAACAACACCGCTATGCCATTAACAACGCCTCCATGCCACCAACAACATCGCCATGCCACTAACTTCTACTAGCAACACTGATACCTTAACAATATACACCACTAACTCCACACCGTTATCACCTACATGACACGTAACCACCACATTAACGTCACCTTCCACCATTAACTCCACACCGTTATCACCTACATGACACGTAACCACCACATTAACGTCACCTTCCACCATTAACTCCACACCGTTATCACCTACATGACACGTAACCACCACATTAACGTCACCTTCCACCATTAACTCCACACCGTTATCACCTACATGACACGTAACCACCACATTAACGTCACCTTCCACCATTAACTCCACACCGTTATCACCTACATGACACGTAACCACCACATTAACGTCACCTTCCACCATTAACTCCACACCGTTATCACCTACATGACACGTAACCACCACATTAACGTCACCTTCCACCACTAACTCCACACCGTTATCACCTACATGACACGTAACCACCACATTAACGTCACCTTCCACCACTAACTAAAGATAACTAAGTGAATGTCCTCGAAAAATCAGGAATTGGAAGTCACTTGAGAACTGAAAACGGTGATTATGTGAACAAAGCAACGAAAGCTAAAAAAGTAGTTCAGAACATGACCACTACTTTTAAATGATAATTATTCTATGAATTAAAGATAAATAATCTTCTTGTACTGAGATTCATTAAAGTAAATTATACATCAATCTGAATAAAATCCCTTGATAAGATTTCTGGTGACACTCGTTCTTTCAGTTGCGTTCACTGAATGAGTCATTTTATTTCGTCATAATGATGTGTGTGTGTGTGTGTGTGTGTGTGTGTGTGTGTGTGTGTGTGTGTGTGTGTGTGTGTATGTGTGTGTTCATTATGCCTATTTAATTAGTATATCTTGTCCTTATTGTAGTTTGTCGTACGCAGTTGTGTAGTTATAATCATTTCAAACAAGTGTTGTGTATACCCTTATGTAGTATTTATCTATGATTAGACTGTCTATAGATTCTGAATTATTGGACTGTCTATAGATTCTGAATGATTAATAATACAACAAAAATGTACAAAATACATTTACGATCGTCAGTCTATATTTGGTATCAGCTTTATTTCTTAGTCAAATTAATAAAACGAGAAAAAATTACAACAGAAAATCGTGTGTGTCTTTTTAATATCCTCCGCTCTTCACACCCCAACACGGAACCCCTCCCCTATTCTCTCTCCATCCTCTCACTTCCTCTTCCTCACAAGTCCTTCACCCATCCACCCCATTTACCATCTATCGAGTTCCTCTCTTCCCCATCCCGCTTTGCTTGTCTACTGTCTCACGCCATACAAATCCAATTCAAGCCCACCCACCCCACTCCTTCACAGATCTTACTACACTCATCCCACTCCTTCACCCGTCTTACTCCACTCATCACACTCCCTCACCCATCCCACTCAATATTCGCCTAGTTTGTAAGAACAGGTTGGTAGCATCACGAACTAAGGACACAAGGTATTAATGCAAGGGCTAAGGATTAATAGAGGCAACGGAGATGCTATTGCAGAAGGAAAACCTGAACAGTTATGTAAATAAACCTGAAACTTAAACAATATAATTTTAAAAGGTGAAATTGCAGAATTTGAAAATAGCCAACTAGCAAAAGGTTAGTGCAGAGAATTTTAGACTCAACGTCTAACCTAGTTACTAATTCTGACTTGTCCAGTGTAGTTTTTTCAAGGAATTTGTCAATTAAACTGTTCTTTTTTGGACTATATTGGCACCAATATCAAGCCTTGTGTTGCTATAAAGTGTTATAAAGTAATAATTCAATGTTGTCATGCTCTTCAATATAGAAATAAAAGAAGCATTATAGAGTAGTGAGCAAACACAAAGGAAATCATAAAAATATTTAAACAAACGGACACAATATGCTACGAATAAACATATTTAGCGCGAAGCTTAAACGTCACAGATGAAACTGTATGTCAGCCTGAATAATATGTGTGATGGTGACATTAGCCTTGCTGATACTCACCAATCGTCTCAAGGGGGGGAGGTAAAGCCGCCAGACCGGGCTGCCTCACTTGTATTTATCATCTCCAATATTGGAAAACTTTACCTCTCATATCTACACGGATGAAAATATTACATACTTAAGTGATACAGAGCCTGGCTGGAAGGGTATAATGCTGTACTGTCAGTGATATACGCTGAGGGGCATTCTTATAAATACCTGCACCGATTGTCAATGTTATTGGTTATGTGCCAAGACGCAATAACAAAAGAAAAATCTTAAGGATTCGAAACAAAACTTCGAGTTAAAGAGAACTAAGGAAATATTTGTCATGAAGTCTTGGCATAAAAAAGATATATTTGACTGAACATTTATATAACAACAAATACAATAAATGTCTTTGTTTACGTCTACCAAAGATACACACCAGGTGCAACAGGTGGAGAGTATCAGACAGGCACACAGATGGTTGGGACTGACTTAATGCTGCGTTGGGATGAAAATATTATAAAAATTAAACTGATGATGATGCGGTTGAGTTTCCTGTGGATGAAGGCCTTTTTCTCTTGGGTCCTAAGTCACCTAAGTCACTACCATGAATATTCGTCATCAGTGATTAGTTGGTCGATTTATTCCAAGTATATAACCAACGTACGTCAATATCATGCTGAGACACTACCTATATTATGTTAGCACCAGTTAGGAGACGAGGTAGTGTCAGTAAATATAATTTTAAGGTTAAGTTACGGATGTTAGTTTAAAAGTCAACCAGTTTGGTGAATTCCTACGTCTTTAATCAAGAGGAAGAACATTCATCGCAAGAAGCTTTTGACTCACTTGTCCTTGGGCATAAATTGCTGACTCGGAGGAAGGAGTTACTGTAAACATTTGCCAATTATACCCTATTACGAAGCAAAAATGGTGGCCAACGTAGATCAAATTAACGCTTTAAAAACTCAAATAATATACTGCAAGCCTACATAAGGCTAACCCATGATATTAATGATAAACAAAACAAAGCCACTTTAAAGGGGGACATACAGACAGGCACACTAAAAGGAACAAAAGGCTTAATCTGCCAACAGTAAGATAAGTCTCTACTGTAAGACATTTGGGGACGGGGACAGCCACGAGCAATGTCAAGATTGTAGTCTGATATTTACCAAGAAGCGTGGGAAGGTCTTAGAGATCAGCTTTATACCTAACATAATGGTCTTCCCTCAAGTTTGCTCTAAACCCTACACCAACTTTACCTCCCCATAATAAATACACAAAGAGTGGGTTGATTAGTTCCGTAATGAGGGCGAACCGGTGGTGTGAGAGCCAACCAGATGGTACTACGTAGAGTGTGATGGTGAGAATAGGTGGGGTGGTGCGGAAGACTCAGTGAAGGTTAGCAACTCTCACACTCTCTCTCTCTCTCTCTCTCTCTCTCTCTCTCTCTCTCCAGTGTGTGTTCCCCTCGTGTCAGCCGCCACACTCTGCTGCCATGACCTTATTTTTCAAGAGATCGTGTTTAACCTCAGCCCGCAGGACAGAGGAGTTAATGTTTTCTGTGTGTGTGTGTGTGTGTGTGTGTGTGTTTTATTGTGGATATATACAGAATATGTGAACAAAATATCTATCATATCAATGGATTGACAGTAAACCTTTGCCTGTGGTCTGGAGGCTGGCGAACAAAAGTTTTCTTACATTCTTATTTGTTTTCCTTTCACCATTTTGATATTCACGCTCTGACACAGATGTGCGTTTGTTTGTATGCTTCACTGTTCGCGAACCTCGGATATAATTTTTGGTATGGAGATGCTCATGTTCCCTAGGAGTGTAAGAAAGCATAACCAATTAACGTAAAGAGCTCCCTCACTCGCGGTAACAACCACCTCGTCATCTTCTTCAGCGAGGAGGGGGGTGGAGGGGGGGAGTGGGAGGAGGATGGTAGATCGTGAGTGTGTTAGGGCAGCCGCCGCCACTTTGGGATTGAGACAGCTGGCAAATGCTCAATGTTTCCGGCCGCCTGGGAATTGTGGAAAACGTAAAAACGCTTAATTGAATCACGTTATATTTTTACGAAATCTGTTAGCTTACCATTTTATAATTTGGAAGGATTTGGTTCATGAATTAATTTTTTGTCTCACAATTCTTATGCATTTACAGAGTTCACATTAACAACTTGATACAATTTTTTTTATGCTCTCGATATCTGTATTGACAATATGACAAGAGGAAGACAGAGACTAGATCAAGGTACTCATATTAATGTGTCGAGTTCATCATCCATAGTGTTTCTTCTCGTTCCTTATTATCTCCTTCTCTTTAGGTAGATTGTTAACCTTTGTGATTCCTTTTTTATTTCCTTTTTTCTGCTTTCTCTTTCAAGCAGTAACCTAACCAAACAAGGGAAGAGAGGACATAAAGATAATTATATTGATATATACAACCATCTTTAACAGGAATTCCATCTATTTATATCTACGTTTACAAGTTAAGGCGAAAGACAACTGCCATTTTCGGGTAGAATGTGATGCAACACTTCGCCAGCTTGATTCGGTGCATAAAGCATACTCAAACAATGAACAAAATGAATCTTCCCAGAAAGCTACCAGCAGCGCACATTCTGAGGGATACGCCATTACTTTTCCTGTTCTATGGACACTCATAATCACTGCGCTGACGGACTGTATCTAACAGTGATTTGATCAGGGATTCGTCCTCGGCCTAAGAGAGGATCTGGGAGGGTCAGTGTGGTATTATACCCCCAACTAACACTCTGTGAAAGTCCTATTCAAAGGCTTTATCGGCAACATCCATCGGTTCAAAACATCCAGTTGCCTGTTTCATCTCTCACTGCTTAAATTTCCTTAAATTTTCAGAAATCTTTCCGGAAATTACAATCTTGTCAGACTGATTATGTCCTATTGAGAAAAAAAAGTAGTAAAACAAAGTGATATTGATAATCTAGGTATTAGACTAGGAGGAATGAGGCACAAACAACTTATAAAAAAAAATGGAAAAAGAATCTATAGTAATCCTAAAATATTTTCTCTTGGTACCTACGAGTATCACAGGCTAGACAAGCTGTGGCAAAAGTATAAGACGAAAAAGATCCTGTAAAGCTCATTAGCAAGGAATGAAAAAAGCGCACAGTAATTCAGACGTTTAGATCAACTGAAACAAGAAACTTCACGCACAAATAGCCAAGCACTATACTGTAAATGCAACCTCAGTGGGCAACGTACAATAAAGGAAACCACAAGGGTGACTAACATTGATCGACGCTATTCTGAATGTTGGCGCTTTCCAGAATATGTACAATCGGTGTCTTTCGGAAACTGGACCACTTCTAAAGAAATATTATGCTGGACCCAGATATTTTTCCTTTATCAACTACGATCTATCTATTGTAGAATGGAAAGTAAACATCTGCTGGTGTGGTAGTTGTTGCAAG